AGCCAGCAAGGAAACAGCTCACATCCCTGTCTGGCCTCGCTCCCGTGTGTCCTCTTTCACCTGCCCCATCCCTGGGATGGGGGCATCTCAGGCAGGGCCAGGTCAGGAGAGGAAGTGTCCTGCATGCAAACTCTGTATGTAGGAAAGACAAGCACATGCTCACGTGCATGGATGCTGGTCACGTCTCCCCCACCCCTACTCACCCCTCAGCCTCCTTCCTGCCTACCTGCCTGCCACTGTCCTTAGGAATCTGGCTGCCCGTGTAGCCTGGCACTGGTGTGTGGCTGCTGCAGACCCTGGGGTCCTCTGGCTTTTCCCTACTTCCCAGCCCCCAGGTAGGGTCTCTTGCAAGGGTCTTTCCCCTGCCAGTCCCTCCCTTCGGCAATAATTCCTGTGTTTCCCCTAAACCTTGCCAGGCCTTCAAGTCCTCACTGAGAATGCTGTGCAGGCAGACTGTGGGCAGAAGCAGTTTCTCAGCTCCAGAGCAGGAAGGGCCAGTGGGACCCCAGTCCCACCTCCCACTAGACAGGAAGCCCCACCAAGGCACAATCATCTCCAGCTCTGTGACGGGGCTTCAGCAAACCTTTGTTTAAATTAATGAGAGACCCCACCTTCCTGGGGGCTCAACTGCAAACAAGACAGTGGGAAGAGGGCCAGGAGGTAGACAGGGCAGGCCGCTGCCTCCTGGTGCTCAGGGAGACCCAGGGAGAGCTCCCCTCCTTCTTCCCAGGAAGCCCCTTTCCTGCGAAGGCAAGTAGACCTGGGGCCTGCCTGGCTCAACCCAGCAGCTCAGCCTACTGTGGGGTGGCCTTGGGTCTCAAGTCTTTTTTTGAGACAGAGTTTCGCTCTTGTTGCCCAGAGTGGAATGCAATGGTACGATCTTGGCTCACCACAACCTCCATCTCCTGGGTTCAGGTGATTCTCTTGCCTCAGCCTCCCGAGTAGCTGGGACTACAGGCATGCGCCACCAAGCCCAGCTAATTTTGTATTTTTAGTAGAGATGGGGTTTCTCCATGTTGGTCAGGCTGATCTCAAACTCCCGACCTCAGGTGATCTGCCCGCCTCGACCTCCCAAAGTGCTGGGATTACAGGGGTCTCAAGTCTTTATCTGCAAAATGTGGCCATAAACTATCTACTTCCCTGGGCTCTTGTGGAGATAAAGTAAGGTTTCTTTCAATGCTTAGCAGAGTCGTATTCAGAATGAGGGGACTATTACTGTTACTAGCAATGAGCCGTGCTTCCCCGAGCCCCAGACATGAACTGCAAGAAGAGAGGGGAGCCTTGAGTTGTGTGAATGAGGCTTTTCCAAGCCCTAGTTCAGGCAGATGCCCCAGGGACTGCAGGCCCACCAGAGGCATCTCCTTAGGGCAGGGGCTAGATGCCATGGCCCTCAAGGGCTTTCTAACTCCAGCTCCCACCAGGGCAGGGTGCCAGCCAGCCACACCCATCACCCCAAACAACTTTGCTCTGGATCCCGTCCACTGGTATCATTTAGAGCTTCTGATGCATGGGGGCTGGGGCGGGGATTCTTTTAAGACCTAAAGTTAATTATTTTTCTAATTTCATGCTGCATGCATTATGCATCAGCTGTTATCACTAGCGGTAATTGCAGACAGGTATGCAAATCCACTATAAATGCACCTAACTGCATAGGCCGTCTGGGCGGTGCTGGTGCCAGGCGGCGGGATGTCCTGAACTTCAGAGAATGTAAATCGCTTTAAAAAACAAGACTTTAGAATTGTGTCTTAGGAGGTTAATTATATTGATAATAGTGTTCGATATTAAACCATTCAAGGCCAGGAGGGGGTGGGGGAATGAAAGGAGACACGTGTAATTTTGTTCCTTTCTCTCTTGGCATTATTTAATAAGATGCGCCTACACCTGATGTTTCTGTCTGTCTGTGTCCATTTTTAGTAAAGCTGCCTAAACTGAGACTTAATTCCTTTAGGAAAGGGAAAAAGAAAGCCCAGTGGGCTGGGCGAGGTGGTTCCTTGTAATCCCAGCACTTTGGGAGGCTGAGGCGGGTGGATCACCTGAGGTCAGGAGTTCAAAACCAGCCTGGTCAACATGGTGAAACCCCGTCTCTACTAAAAATACAAAAATTAGCTGGGTGTGGTGGTGCGTGACTATAGTCCCAGCTACTTGGGAGGCTGAGGCAGGAGATTCACTTGAACCTGGGAGGCGGAGGTTGCAGTGAGCTGAGATTGTGCCACTGCACTCCAGCCTGGGTGACAGAGTGAGACGCTATCTCAAAAAAAATAAATAAATAAAAGAAAGCTCAGTGGAGTTTCAGAGTGAAGGATAGGGGCTAAAGGTCTTTATTTTGGGGGGCGAGGAAAAGGAAGAGCAGCAGCACCAGCAGAGCTGGGGACAGTCCCCAAGAACAGGGCTGAGGCTGTGGGCTCTGCGCTGCTTCCCTCCTCAGCCTCCTTTAGGATCCTGGGCCGCAGCAGAGGGCCTGGAGAGGAGCAGTATGACTAGGAAAGGCTGGTGATGGGCGACACTCACTGATCCTAGATCAGAGGCTTGGCACTAGGCTCTGAGGGCAGGGCCTCTCAGGGGCTGAGAACAACCCTGAGAAGGTGGGAGGCAGGTCCTGCTCCGTCATCAGTTTACGGATTGCCTCCTCCCCCTGGAATGTAAACTCCTACAGTTAGGACATGGTCTGCCTTGTGCCTGGCATGGAGCCTGGCACAGAAAGTACTCAGTAAACATCTGATGAATGAATGAACAGGGCCACCAAAAGGGAGGCCCCTGAACCTAGACCCAGGGCCGGGTGGTGGTAAAGAAGAGGGAGGCTGGCCTTCCTGCAACCCACCCCAGGATGCCATGGTGACCCAGGGTGCCCTTACCACAGCAGCCCAAAGAGGCAAAGGGAAGGGTCTGGATTGTGCCACAGATGGCAGAGGGGTGGCCACAAACCCAGGCCTCAGACTTGATATCCGGAGCTCTCCCCTTCCCAGGTCTCCTACCACCTGTCTCAGCTGCCCAGTGGGACCTCTGTGGCCCCAAAGGGAGACTCTTGGCCGTCCCTACTCACCCCCACTGATATGGATGCTGGCCTGGCACTGCCCAGCCGCGTGTCTGTCTCCAACTATCAGAGGTGAGCCTCACTTTACTACAGAGGCCTTTTCCCCTCCCGCCCACCCCACAGATACACACACGGATGGAACTCGCCACTCAGGACCCTGGAATCATGAGATAAAGGACCTCAGTGATTGTCTGCTTTTTGCAGATGAGGAAAATCTGAGGCTCCGCATGGATGAGACAGGGTGGAGACAGAGCCCTCCAGCAGCTTGGGCAGCCTCCCCGCCCATCTCCTGGGGCCTTGGCGCCCAACTCTAACCCTTTCCCAGGGGTTTGGCACAGGGAGGGTGCTAGGGTACAGTGTCCCAACTCCAGCGGGGTCTCACGGGGGCTGCTCTTCTCTACCAGCAGGTCCGCAACCCCTCACGCCTGTGGGCTCACTCACGCCTGTGGGGCCACTCACGCCTGGGGGGCCACTCATGCCTGTGGGGTCACACCTGTTAGCGTTAGCAGTAGCTAGCAGGGCTGGGTGCTTGAGTGTTGGGCACGTCAGAATGCTCTCGCCAGCTGGCCACAGCCTGTGTGGAGGGGAGAGGCTGCATCCCCAATGCAGAAAGGGGAGGCACGCAGGGAGGGGCAGACTTGTCCAAGGTCACACGCTCACAACCAGAGGGCCAGGCCCCAACCCAGGTCTGTCTGCCCAGAGCGTTTGTTCCTTGCCTCCCTTTGCACAGAGCCACTGAGCAGATCTTCCATGGCAGCAGGCCTGGGGGGCAGCAGCTGCTCCCCTCCAGCTTCGCTACAACCTAGGAATGACCCCGAAGCCCTCCTAGGGACTGGAGGGGCAGTAGGGACCAGGGTTGGGCACTGGGAGAGGAGCAGCTGGGAGCAGAAGGGCTGCAGGGCAGGGGCCCAGCTCAGGCTCAGGCGCGTTTGCGGCCCCGCTGCCGGGCTGGCACACTTTTATAATAAATAACAGCAAATAGCCCATCCGCAGGGCATCTTTCACGCCGGTGGCTAATAACACGGCTATTAATGCCCCCGCAGACGGCGTGCACGCTGTGCCGCTCTGACGAATGTCCCAGGCCCTGGTGCAATCATAAATCAACCGCTCTCCTGAGGAAGAGCGTGGGAAGTGTCATTTTCCATCTTGGTAATGAATTGGGGCCTCCCTGTCCTGCCCAGGGCACGGTGGCTTAAGGTTGCCTGGGATTTGTGTTTTCCGAGGTGAGGTGTAGCCTCCCCCTCCGGTCTCCGGGGATCCTTGGAGGAGTCAGCTCCACCTCAGTGGGAGGGAGCGCTCACCGCCTGCTGTGTGACCCTTGGGGCACTCGCTGCCCTTCTCTAGGCCTCAGCTGGCTCCTGTAACCAACAAAGAGGCTGAACTGGAAGCCAGCGCAGACAATGCCCAAGGGCCAACAGGAGCAGGACCTTGGGCAGTAGCTTTGGATCAGCCCCACCCTGGGTCCCCGGCCAGACAGCAGGTAGCAGACCCTGCTACCCAGACAGCAGACCCTGATGTAGACTTGTGGACTCCCTCCCGTTCAAGGGCAGCAGGCACCAGGGAAAGTAGCCTAGGTTACCAGAGCTCCTGCCCACCACCCACCAGGCCTCACTGCCACCACCGTTAGGGAGGGGGCTCAAAATGAGATTTCCCCACCCCACTGCAGGACCATTTACTCCAGGAGAGGCCACGCCGTTACATCCCAGGTCCAGCTGCTGGATAGAGCCCAGCAGCACAGGGACCACCAGGTGGCAAATGATGCTTATGCCGGCAAGCAGAAGCCGCCAGCTGCGTGAACTGCGTGAGTGGGTGGATGGGATGGAGCTGCAGACCTGTGGAGACCCGTGGAGCTCTGGCCGGGAAAGGGGTCTTTGGAGGGCGGGACCCAGCTGTCTGGGCGTGAGGAACCCTGGGCCACCCTGGAGCCCTTCCGAATTCACATCCCTCTTCCCTCGTCCTTGGGCCTTACCTCCTTCGTCGCTGCAGCCCAGGAGCCCTCTGGGTCCGACGAGTTGCTGGTCTGAAGGCCCACGCCAAAGTCACGAAGCCGCAACTCGGGACACTGTGAGCTCAGATGGCGCTCACATTCCCGGCCCCGTGGTCCTACCAGGCCTTGCACCACTAGGGACACAGACCTCAGACCCGGGGTGACTGGGCAGTGCTGGGGCACCCCAGGGCACAGAGAGGGGATCTGGTGCCTCAGTCTTCTGGTCTCCTGGGGTTCAGATGAGGCTGCGGGCCACAGTCAGCAGCATCCTTGGCACCCTAGGCCGCGGGCGCAGCTGGCTTCTCCCTGCAGAGTGAGGGTCCTGCGCACAGGGGGTACAGGGACACCCCTCTGGGCCCCAGGACTCCTGAGGGTGGCCTGAGGGGGTTCCGACTCCCTGTTCGTCGGGCATGCCCTGTGGCCTGGCACCCAGCCCCGAGCAGGGTGGCCTCTGCTGCTTGCTTGACCTCCACAGCCCTTTTCAACTCTTGCCCTTTTGTCTGCAGGCCGCCACCTCTTCTGAAAGGCCTCTGCGTGGCTTTTGGCTTTTACCCCCTTTTGGTTTACCAAGGCTTTTTTTTTAAATCCCTTTAAGTCACTTGGCAGAATGGGCTGGGTGCAGAGAGCGTTCTTGCATGACAGAGCTGAGAGGGAGCCACTCTCCAAAGGCTCCGTATTCCTGTCACTCAGGCTGCGTCTCCGGGGGGAAGGAGGGGTCCATTACCCCGCTGAGGAGTTCAGATGTTCACGGTGGGGCTGGAGCTGCTGACACGTACAGCTGAGCTGTCAGGCCCCCACATGCCCTTCTTTGGGAAGATGCTTGGGGGGCGAGGGCCTCAGTCCCGCTTGGCTGCTCCTGTTTGTAGAGGTTTCCTTGCTGGGAAGGTAGGGAGGATGGGTTATTCCCGCTTCACCCCCTGGTCTTGTCTTTCCAAAAAGGAATCCATCTTCTCGCCCACTGCCTGCTTCCTTACCTGCCAAAAACAATACCAGTGATTAAGCCCAGAGACATGAGGGACCGCATTGGGACAGCATCCATCAGGGCCACTGGGCTGCAGCCCCCTTTGCTTTGGATCCTGTTTTTTTTTTTTCTTTTTTGAGATGGAGTCTCACTCTGTCGCCAGGCTGGAGTGCAGTGGCGCGATCTTGGCTCACTGCAACCTCTGCCTCCTGGGTTCAGGCGATTCCCCTGCCTCAGCCTCCTGAGTAGCTGGGTCTACAGGTGCAAGGCACCACACCTGGCTAATTTTTTTTTTTTGTATTTTAGAAGAGGTGGGGTTTCACCATGTTGGCCAGGATGATCTTGATCTCCTGACCTCATGATCTGCCTGCCTTGGCCTCCCAAAGTGATGGGATTACAGGCATGAACCACCGCACCCAGCCTGGATCTGGATCCGGTTTTTTTTTTTTTTTTTAAATGCCACTTGCCCGTGAGCCGGGGAAGGGCCTGGGGTTATTCTCCCCATCTCCTGCCTCTTTCCAAATCCTGACAACAGTTGGCTATGCATAGTGCCCAGCCTTGCAGCTACCTGGTTTTCCCTCCCTGGGGGTGGAAGGACTGGGAAGAGAAAAATGAAGTTTTTGGAGCTCCTGGCCGTGCAGGGCCACCCGCCCAGCCCAGAGCTGGCTCCAATTCCCCCAGCACCTGCTCTTCTTGCTAAATGTCATTCAAAAGCTCCAACTGGACCGCCATGGCCTGGGCTTCCAGAACAAGCACTGCCTTTCCCCACCATGGGAAGCAGAACCATCAGGGAACTGGGGAAGTTGGGTCTCCATGTTCCTGGCCTCTGTCCGGTGCCCACCCCACTTCCTAGGTGGGGGGTCAGTCCTCAACACCGGCAACCGCCCTCCCCTTCCGCACAGACGGAGGGCAGGGCAGGCTGTTCCAGAATCCAAAACAAAAGCCCGAGCCCTGCCCAGCACCTCTCATTAGTGCGGCATGTGGAAAGGCCATGGTGCCCTGGTGTCCGTATTCCCCCTGCAGGAGCCCCTCTTTGGAAAAGGGCTTTTATTACACATCTGAGAGTGCTCGCTCTGGTTTGAAATCAGATCCAGATGGGCTCAGCTGCATCTGGGCACTTTTCTTTGTAGGGCCTAAGGTGGCTGATTTGAGAAATGCTTGTTGGAGGCTGTTACAAATACAAACAGGGATATTGGGGTTCATGTTTTAATAAGCCCAGCACCCAGATAGGGGGTGGCTGCCCACGGGACTCACAGCCTGGCAGGGAAGGCATTCGGGAAGGGTGTGTGCCAGCCAGGTGGTGTGCAGGCTGAGACTGATGGGGTGGACAGGGTGGCGGGGGGAGTTTTCTTGGGACAAGCTGCCCTAGGAGAAAGGAGGTTTCAGAGCCAGCAAGCCCCATGGGACATCGATTCTGAATGGCCAGTCCCTGGTGAATACTACAGGTGGGGCACAGGCCCTGGAAGGGGTGCGGTGGGGCTTACGCAGGAGGGAAGATGAGGACAGAGTCCCTGTGTGCAGGGGGGGAAGGCGGCCGACTCCAGCACAAGCCCTTATTGCTATTACCACCCGCGTGATTTCATCCAATTATAAATTGTAATTTCTCCATGAAAGCGAAAGATGGAGAAAGTCCAATGAGGTCATCTGCCTCCCTGGCCGGGGCGCAGAAATTGTTTTATACCAGTGGGGGTGGGGCAGGGGCAGCAGGCTTCGGCATTTTGAGAGGATGACGGCCGTGTCCTGGGAGCCTAGAGGCTCCAGCCAGCCGTGGCCGCTGCCTCCCGATAAAGAGAGAAACCACTGAGCTCTGCTTTTGAAATTAAGAACCCAAAAAGGAGGCAAGTTCATCCCACCGGTGTGTTCGCCTCAGACCCTTCCCATAGCTTCTCAGCTTTATCCTGAGAGTGTCCCATAGCTGTCAGGATAGAGGCAATGCTGCTACGGTAGTCTCCAAGGGCCCTGCCCAGCCCACCCGCCGTGTCTGCCACTACTGCCCACTAATGCCCTGAGCTGGCTCCAGCCTGGCCCTTCACTGTACTGTTCCCCTTCTGTAAGAATCCATGCAGACGTCATCCCTCCCTTCCTGCAATGGGCCACCCTCCCCTTGGCTTGTGTGGTCCTGTGAACCATGACAGCAATGACATAGCATGAAAAGAATTGTCTCCCTGGCTTCAAGGGAGGACCTGAGGCTGGATCCCCCAGCGTCTGGCTCAGTGCCTTGCACACAGTTGGTGCTTAATAAATGCACTCGGCGAACTTCCCATCTGCTTCCTCATTTAGAAAACCAAGGCACTAAGTGAGGCTCTTGGTGCCCATCCAGCTTTGTATGTCCTCAGTCCGCCTTCCCTGCTGCAGCCCCCACCCCCACCTTCCCTGGGGCCTGCAAAGCCTCCTGGAACCCCAGTGCTGGGATACTGGGCTCCTCGGCATCTGTGCCCTTGATGAGTGGGGCCTCTCAGGCTTCTGGGGTGTGTATTGGTTTTCCAAGTGAGTCTGGCTGGCAGTGGTTGGGAGGTGTGAGCTCTCCAGCAGCACTGTGGCTCTTCCCTTGTGTGGGTGCATAATGATGATCATTAGTAGCCACCTGCATTCACTGAACCAAAGGAGGCCCAAGAATAAATATGTAAATGCGTGCGCCTGGCAGACACCTCCCGCCAGAGCCACAGCGCCCCCAGTGGCCACCCTCCTGGCTCGAGTGAGTGGAGACCACGCCGTGTGAGGTTAGTGGTTACACTCATCCCCTTGGCCTCCCCTGTTCCCACAGGCTCCAGGTCTGGTCTCCGTGCTCAAAACCAGTAAACCATTTTTTGAGTCAACATCATAAAAGCTTCCATTTTGAGTAAAAGTACTTTGAGATGCTTACACAATTCTACTTTTGTTATCATCAATAACATCACCACTGTATTAAAAGAAATTTGAAAGGAGGGAGAGAACGCCAAGTCCCCAGTCTCACATCTCTGCATTACCCTCTGCATTTTGGCTGAATCTGCCCATACATATATGCCAGGGGACAATGCACCTTGTCCTTTCCCAGTAATTTCTGCCTTGCCATCTTCCCTGAGCTTGGGAAGATAGCATGGCTAGCAGGTCAGGGAGGACCACTTCCATTGTGTGGACTAAGAAGAGGGAGTAGGACTTGTCCAAGGTTATACAACCTGAAGCAGAGTCAGGGCCTCAAACTCCAGGCCAATTTCCTTATGGCTACACTACTCCTAGACAGCACAAGAGAAACAGACCATCCACCAAACACTGCACTGAGGGGCCCTGGGCTTCTCCCGAGGCTCTCTTGTGTACCCCTCCATCCATACATCCCTCCATCCTTCCATCTCTCCCTCCATTCCTCAATCCCGCCATCTCTCAATCCCTCCATCTCACCATTTCTCTATTCATTCATCCATCCATCCATCCATCTATCCATTCATCTCTCCATCCATCCATCCTTCCTTCTCATTTCTCCATTCACCGATCCATCTCTCCATCTGTCAACCCATCCATTCATCTCTCCGTCCATCCTTCCATCTGTCTCTCCATTCATCCTTCCATCTCTTCATCCATCCATCCCTCCATCAATCTATCCATTCATCTCTCCATCCATCCTCCCATCTCTCCATCCTTCCATCTCTGTATTCATCCTTCCATCCCTCCATCTCTCCATCAATCCATCTATTCACCTCTATCCATCCATCCATCTCTCCATCTTTTCATCCATCCATCCATTTCTCCATCTATCTCTCCATCTGTCCATTCATCCATCCATCTCTCCCTCTCCATCTGTCCATTTCTCCATCTTTCCATCTACCCATCTCTCCATCCAGCAAACATATTCTGAATCTAGTCATGCTCCAGGCATTGTACAAGACATTGGGGGTCCAAAGAGATGCCCCCATCCTCCAGTGGGGAGGGCACTGGTTTTCAGAGGGCTACAATCTGAGGCGCACACAGGGCAGTGTGGGAGCCAAGAGCTTTGAAGATGATGATGCTGTGCTGTGGTTCTGGGGTACTCCCATGTCATGACAATCACACATGAGCTCAGTGGCCATCCAGAGGGGGGCAGGTCTGGCTGGGTTTTCCCTTGACCACCTGCCTATCTTCCAGAGCCACTGCTCACCCTTGGCCCTCAGGGCTTCCTCCCGAAGTAGAAACGATCCCCAAGCCCTCAGCTTTACAGTTCATAGCTGCCTTAAAGATCAGAGCTCTCTGATATTAATTCCTATATTAGCAATTAGCCCTCCTGTTTCATTTCAACCTTTGGCTCCTAGGGATGGATTTTTATGTATGTGTCATTAATCAGATGACTGGTATGTGCTGCTAGAAACCCAGGTGGGCTTTATGGCTGGCGACTTAGCGAAGTGGTGTTTTAAATGAACAACATGCCTGCCCCCTCCCTGGGCAGAGCTGCCCTGTGGCAAAGAGGGCAGAGTTTAGATCATTGTAAGCAGGTCAGAGCTGGTGCGAGCTAGGAGACCCAGGATTTTCTTTCATTTTGGACTTCCAGGCTGAGGTCAGCATCTGTATCTGACCTTTATAGATGAAAAGACTCTTTGTGACTCAAACTGGAGTTTGTTCCATGGCTGCTGACTTCCCCCTACCAGGATGGCTGTCCACAGAGCCCGTTCCTTTTTTTCCCATTGCA